TCCATCTTTGTTGGCGGTTAATTTGCATATCATGCTGATAAGCCAATGGCAATGGTAGTGAAGGTAAGGTTAATTACCATGTTTGCCTAATATTAGATAGGATATATATATTACTTTCTAAGTCTGTCATAAATTCAGTTTTCCCCCAATCTTCTCATTCAAATCACAGAATCTTCTCTCTGCATTTTCAGTTTTTACTTACTTGTTGCAACCCCATTTAATATTTTGTACTAGCAATACTTGAATTTGTCATGCACTTTTTGTACCTGTTGCCATCCTATTTTTAATCTCACATTATTGTCTTCTTAACTCATTTTAATTTCTTTTATAATTTTCCCCATGAAGTGTATTTGTTCATCTTTATCTTAGGGATAATCATGTACAAAAGCATGATCTTTATGGATTTTCCAGTGTAATATATAATTTTTAGTAGGTTCCTCTTTTTGATGTTGTCTTAAGTTCAGTTTTTTTTATTATTATTCCTTTTAGTAATAGTTTTAATGGGGCCCAAGATCACCCAGCCAGAAAATAAATTTCTCTGTTTACTTTGGCTACACATGACCATATTATTAAGTTCAGGATAAAGGAATGTAATAAACAATAATATGCACTACTTCCCTTTCTTCCTTAAAGATAAGATGCTAGCTTTGGGTCCCTCTTTGCCTTTCCAGTTGGCCAGAAAATGTCACCCATTGAATTGATATCCCAGCTCCTAGGGATGGAAGCCATGGGCAGGTTTTGCTTGCCTGGGTCCTTGGATGAGCTCAACAAAAAGCATCTACTTACGCTTAACTACCCCTTAATGTCACATGAGAATGAAATGAATCTCTAAATGGCACTTGGGGCTGGGTAGTTCTTTGTTGTGAGGGTTATCCTGCGTATTGTAGGATCTTTAGTAACATCTTTGGTGGAAAATGCTAGATGCCTGCAGTCCCTCTCCTCCATCCCAGTTGTGACAAACAAAAGTGTGTCCATTTGGCAAATGATCCTTACAAGGAAAAACTGTCCCTGAATGAGAACCACTAGTCTATAGACTAAGGTAAAAATTGCTCCTGGTAAGTGCGATGCTGCCTTAATAAAACCAATAAAATCTGGCATTTACTTAGGGGTCAGGTGGGAGGAAATGAGTAAAGAGACACAGAAGGTTGGAAAGTGGTGATTATTTTCCTGCTGTGGCATATGTTGCCTATGGTATTGTAGTAGGGAGGACATGATCCTATATGCCTGAAAGTTGCAAGGCAAATATTTAGAAAGAAGTAGAATATCAGTGTTTGGTTATTACATGCGTTTTAAGTAAAATACAACAAAAGTGAGCTAATTTATTTTACAACTGGAAATTTACACCTGTTAATCTTCTTCACGTGTGTGTGTGTGTGTGTGTGTCCCCATGTAAACATAAGAAGGCAGGAAGATATATGGGTTCATAAATTCTTATTCAAAACCCTTGCAGCCAGACATATATTGTAATCCCTAACTCTTTTATATTTCAGAATGGCATTTTGTTGTGTATGTCATATTTTACTCATCCCAGGAGGGACTGGGATCTCAAAATTGAATATATTACTATTTCATCAGTAAAAAATATTAATAGTAATGGTGAAATAAATAAGGACTAGAAATAGACTTAAAAATGAGCACAGCCAGGAAACACTGGGCAATCTGCTTATTTGCTTGCAACGTAAATTGGCTAATAGACCAGGAAAGTGAGTTACCTCCAAGTTTAAAAGTTGTCTCAATACCACAAACAGCAAAAACAGATTGTCACCGTTTCTTAATTTTTTTAACTTTTCAGCCAAAAAATAAGGAAGCTACAGCAAATATCAGATTATAGTACGGCCTTCCCACCCCGCTTAATATTTCAAGGGACACAAGTTACCCATTCTTATGATGAAGAGAAGGAAAGTGGGCCCAGCAACTAGACCAGTTAGTTAAAAGTAAGAATCAAAGGACCAATAACTAGAAGGTAAAAATTGCTACTGGCAAGTGCGATGCTGCCTTAATAAAACCAATAAAATCTGGCATTTACTTAGGGGTCAGGTGGGAGAAAATAAGTAAAGAGACACCGAAGGCTGGAAACTGGTGATTATTGGGGTGAAGTCCTTTCACATGCGATTTTATAGAAAGTTGAAAAATCACAGGTCTGGCCTTAAACTATTAGTTGTTTGCTATAATAGGAACTCGTTGCTTTCTTAAAATTGCACCAGCAAGGAGGAAGCTAGAGAAGCTATGTGGTGGTTTAATGTGGCCCAACTCTCCAACATCAGCTTCAGAAAGATTAGGAAATGAGAAAAATTTTCCAGGTGACCACATTTGGGGCCAAAAGGACAATGAAAAGAAACTTCCTCTCAGAGAACAAAGCCAGAGTCTAACCAAAGAAAATCTTCCACTGACAGATCAGGGAGTTCTTGAAACTTCCATCCAGCATGATTTATTTATAATTGTAATGAACCAATGACTGTTTTAGGTATTTTTATTGTAGTTTCCTATTTTTCCTATTTCCTTTCCACCAAAAAACAAGAATAATTAATAATAAACTATTTAACCCTACAATTTAAAGAATTATAAAAAGAACGAGCCCAGAATAAGTAGAAAGAAGGAAATAATAAAGATTAAAGCAGAAATAAATGACATAGATTCTAAAAATACATACCAAAAAAAAAAAATCAATGAAATGAAGAGCTGGTTCTTTGAAAAGATAAACAAGAATGATGAACGGTTAGCCAAACTCATCAAGAAACAAAGAGAGAGGACCCTAATAAATAAAATCAGATATGAAAGCAGTGAAGTAACAACTGACACCACAGAAATACAAAGGATTGTAAGAAAATACTATGAACAACTGTATGCCAATAAGCTGGACAATGTGGATGAAATGGACAAATTTCTAAAAAAAAAAAATACAATCTTCCAAAACTGAATCTGGAAGAATCAAAAAACCTGAATAAGTCAATAACAACTGATGAAATACAAGCAGTAATAAAAAAAAAACAAAACTCCCAGCAAACCAAAGCCTGTGTCCTGATGGCTTTACAGGGGAGTTTTACCAAACCAGGAGTTTTACTAAACCTTCAAAGGACAATTAACACCTAACCTCCTCAAATATTCAAAAAAATTCAAGAGGATTAGAAGGGCAGCATTATCCTAATTCAAAGCTCTTTTTATGAGGCCAGCATTTTTATGAGGCTAGCATTATCCTAATTCCAAAACTAGATAAAGATACTACAAAGAAAGAGAACTACAGGCCAGTATCCCTGATGAATATAGATGCTGAAATCCTCAACAAAATATTAGGAAATCAGATCCAGCAATATATTAAAAAGGTCATATGCCATGACCATGTGGGATTTATTCCAGGGATTCAAAGCTGGTACAATATTCACAAATCAATGAAGGTGATACACACATGATCTCACTCATATGTGGAATCTAATGAACAAAATAAACTGATGAACAAAATAGATCCAAAGACACAGAAGCATGGAACAGACTATGGAACCTTAGAGGGAAGGCAGGGGAGGGTGAGTGTGTGGGGAGAGATCAACCAAAGTACTTATATGCATATATGCATAACCAGGGACACAGACAATAGGGTGATGAAGGCCTAGGGCCGGGACAGGGGATGGGGTAGGCTAGACGGGGTCAATTGAGGGAAAAGAAGGACATACGTAACCACAGGGGGAGCATCACTCAGCCAGAAGCTGGGTTCATGGCTGCTGAGCACAGTGGCCCCTGTGGGAGCACCGCTCAGCCAGAAGCCAGGCTCGCTGCTCCTTAGCACTGCTGCAGAGGCAGAAACCTCTCCCACCTCCGCTGCAGGCGGGCAGTAAGGAGCGGAGCGAGGGGTCCTGGACTGCCAGAGACCCAGACTGTGAGAGGAATGTCTGCCTGCCGGCTTAGGCGGATATCCCCTGAGGGGTCCCGGACTGTGAGAGGGTGCAGGCCAGGCTGAAGGATGACCCCCCTCCACCCCAAATGCACAAATTTCATGCATTAGGCCTCTAGTCAAGTAGTAAAAGCTCAGACCCAGAGATAGCGCTCACTTATTAAGAGCAATGGATTTGTTTCACTAGTTTGACCATGAGGTTCTCTAGATGACCTCATGATGAAGAGCCTATCTAGGTGGACTGGACTTATACTCAACCAAGTAATATGCTGTAATCTTTTTTCAACTCCTATAATTTTGGTTTTCTTTTTAATT